ATTCGAGCCTCTGTAAAAATTGGCAAAAGTGAGGTTATGTATCATTTTTGACTATTTAAAATAGATTGAATCACTTTCTTGAGGAGAGTCGGGCGGATTCATGCAAATAAACGGCATTTAAAAACATATTCTAAAACGATTGAATGGAAGTCAGGTCCTGGGGCGACTCAAATGGTTACGAACGGGCCCCAGCTACTCTTGAATTTAGTGTTCTTACCAGTGAACCGGCACGTTTCGGCATTAGGACTCGATTCAAGAGTGAAGTTTAAGTTTCAACGTATCCATAGAGCCTGTCATCTTCGCGCTGAATGGCGCTGAAAAGTTTATTTCTCAATACAAAGTATTGACTAAATTTTCGTACTGGAGTAACGTTTTAAAATTAGTATTACTAAATGTATGTGAAGTCTTTGGTGCCCAACGCGCCTAAAACCTATAAAGGGCACATTTATTTATACTCTCAGAGGCAGACAACACTCTAGTTTGCCTAAGAGAAAATAAAACACTTTCCGTGAAAGCACCTCTAACCTCCTCGGGGAATGCCAGTCAGTTTTGAAATTATTTTCTATGGGTAAAACTTGCGTTTGCGACGTGGAAACATTACTTTTCAAGAAGTTTGGTGTGTGTAGATTCTTTCAGAGATAAAGATAATCCGATTTGTACAAATAAAAAGTGTAATTTTGGCCAGCTTTTACCGGATCGGAACCACTGTGCGACAGGAGGACACATAATGGACGAGTAGGTGAAAATTCGACCCGACTCTACAACGTTTTCACGTGGTTAACGCGACTTGGCTACGCGCGTCCGACCCGACCTGTCTGGCGTCTCAGCGGTGACTGACGAGGCAGCACAACCGGAGAGTGTCGGCGGTCCGTCTGCCTGTCGCTTCGCCGGCCGCTTGCTGTCTGACCGCCCTCACTGGCGGGAAAGGTGGCTGGTGGGTTGCCTACCCATACGGCGCACCGGCGCTTTGGCACGGGCCCGTAACAATGGAGCATACACGTTTGAAACCAACAATAACTTACATAAGATCCCTTTTCAAGTGATAGTACGACCTGATGTAACCGAAACCCCTATTTTGAGTGAACGATTTCTCATAGTAGACTCACAGCGTGCTGCGCCCTAGCGGCCGGCGCTGGAGGCAGCGCTGCTGCTCAGGCCTCATTCCCTTCGCTATTGCTATCTTCAAATTTGAAGAAGGATAACAAAAGAGGGAGAAAGCATGAGATAATCATTATTAGGTTGAAAAGCTTTGTAAGGAAACTTTTTCCGTAGTAGATATTAGATGCAACTTACTTTATTGCAGATCTATTGTCTGCGCATACATGCTCATGAAAAATCTTCATAAACTGTTTCATTTTAGACTTATTGCGCTACGAAAATTGTTTTCCGATATGTAGCCATAAAACGACGTTTTTTTTGCTAGAAAAAATCGTTTTTCACTATATTTCTAAAAAGGTCGCCTGGAGGCCGAAAAAGCCAAACAGCACCTCGCAAAGAGGGCTGAGGACACCCTGATGGCCAAAAAGACGACCCGAGAAGCATATGCAGGCTAGCCAGGCTGCAGGGACCCGTCAGACTTGGCAATACGGGTAAAATGACAGTATAAGCTTAGATTGGGTTTTATGTGCTAGCTATGCAGAGGTGCGGAGAGTGGGGTGGGCTAGCAGGAGGATTTAAAAGAATTGGGCGCCAGGTAGCAAAGCTACCCCCAAAGCTAAAGTAGTAGTATAAGTGATGAAATATGTGTATGGATACCACAACATTTATTAAACATTTAAACATAAGCAAAGATAGCAGACACTAGCTTGAAAAAGCAGTAGTAGTACATGAGTACTGAATGTGAGAGCCCCGACCAACGCTCAACACTGTGGCGATCAACCTAACTCAATAAGCTAAAGCTAAACTAGGTAGATGTACGCCAGACCATGTCTCGCGTAACAAGCTTCGCGATATCTCACGAAACACTGTTGGCGCCTGGCCTGGCATACATCTACCTAGGCCTGCGGCGCTGACACCCGAGTCGGGTAGCGCAAAAAATATATACAAAGGGCCTCCGGCCCGCCAACTTTACGTCTCTTCGACTAGGCATGCAGGGTTGTACATTTTTTCGCTCATTTTCGTCAAAAACTCGCTGTGGCGCCTAAATGGTTAAAGATAGAGTCCAACGGACGAAATTTTCGCCCATAGGGCTCTACTTTGATGAGTTACCCCTTAGGAAACATTAAAAACATAATTTTAAAAAACGTCATTTATGGGACTTGTTGTTTTTGATTTTTTTTAAATCCAGTTTTTGAGCTAGAATGCTCTTTTCCGAACTTGATCTGTCTTTATATGACACAAAACGACCCTGAAAATCCCAGGTCGCTAGCTCAATTCGTTCTCGAGTTATCGTGACGACAGACA